CATAATTTCTTTCTTCAAAAGCCACCTTAAGGTAGCATATTGGGCACAAAGGGTTTAAGAATTGAGGGGGCTGAAGGGGTGAGCAGTTTGGAGAGGCCATGAACCGTCCTGTGCCAATGTCAGCGTGGTCTCCTGCCTTCCTGCTGTCAGCTTCCCTCCTTTTCCATGTGGATTGGACTCAGGCCCCCCCTTCAGCATCTCCTACCCCAGGTGGCAGCAGCTCTTTGTTAACTGTATTTGAGCACAGGTATCATGAACTCCTCCGTTTTAAATTTTGGTGTATGATCAGTTGTTTTCATCAGTGCCACAGACAGCTGGATCCAGCTGTGACCTGTTCTGGGCAGTTCAACAGCTTTGCCCACACAGGTGAACCCTGCAGCCCCTCCCTATCCAAAACCCTGCAAATTTTCTGATAAAAATAGTAGGGGGGGAAAAAAAAGTTATGGTAGACATACTGTTAATAACTGTTGTTTCCCTGCACTCTGAAACACATTTCCCTGAATCCAACTACAATACCAGAGCTCTTGTTCACGCTTCCGAAAAGTGGGCAACTAGAACATATCGCAGTTCAAACTTACAGACGCAGAGCCACGCTTCCTTCCCCAGTTCCCAAATAATCAGTTGTGAAATGAGATTTCTAATAGCTGCCACTCAGAACACCAGTTCTCTTTCTAATTGTGTATAGAGTTGTGAAAAGAAACTTCCTGGTACCTCCTGTCAAACCTATTAAAAGATAAAAAAACCCCACAAACTTCCTACAAACTAGAGGTCAATGAAAGCGGGTCAAGTCTCTGCCACTACTGGTTTTGGCAACACTTCGACTTCTGATGTGGGCCTAAAACGTTTATGTCCACATCAACTACGTGGACAAGAGCACACAAAAATTCAGCAAGCTCATACAAAGACCTAAAACTTCGATTACTGTTATTCATGCACATAGAATTTTCAGGCAAAGCAGCAACCAATGTTCCAAATCACATTATCTGAAGATTCAAACAAAAAATTGTTCACTTTCAAACCCAGATTTTTTCAATTCTGCATATTTAAGCGTTAGCTTGATGTTACGTAGGATCCATCTCCTTAATTCACTGGGTACGAGCGTGGCAGCTTTAAGAGAGTACAGACCACCCTCCCACAGATCATTTCCGTGCCTGCAGACGCTGCCTCACAGGCAAGTTGCCTTGGGTCAATTCCTCCTCAGCAGCGACAGCATCAGCGCCCAGGCGCTGTCAGAGCCCGCAGACACGGAGACACCCCTCGCACCGCAAGGCCCCAGCCTACAGAGCGCGGACTGGGGGTTTGGTTTGGTTCTTTTCCCCCGAGCGCTTCCTGCGCGCCCCTTACGGGCGGCACAACGGCTGCAAACTGCCGGGAGAGAGAAAACCTCCCGCGCAGGCGATGGCGGGCAGGGCTGCCCTGCGGAGCGCAGCGGAGACGCCAGCAGGGAGGGGGTAGGGCGGAGGGGGGAC